ACTCAACTGTGCCATGGCCTTCAACTGTATCACCTTCATCGGCAAGTGAGCGAGTTCTCATCCATGTGGTACCACATGATACAGTCCAAAAAGGACCTTGAGTTGAAGTTGTTTTGTCAACTGCTGTTTCGGATGTCAAAAATTAAGTCTCAATCTTAACTTTGACACCAACATGGATATGAAGTCCTCAAATTTGTCAGACTAATGAGAAGTCTGACCGTGGCTACCTCAGTTTGATCCAGAACAAGTAACAGAGGTGACCTCGAGTTGCGTACAGTAATGGACATTCATCTACATATCTTCCTCCGCATGTGTCCTTCAATATTCATTTTCAGCCAATCTCTTAATGCTTGAAAATAAGGTCAATAAGGATGGTGTCCAAATATTTATTTTTCTCAGTTGAGTTTCAACTCCAGCTCCATTCTGATGTCCTCATGTTGCTGTGTCAGTGGTGGATTTTGGAAAAGCTTTGAGGACACCGTGAGGTTTGGATCGGGCACAGGCTGCATTTCCGATGGTAGAGCTCAGAGGGGAGCAAAATAAACAACGTTGTTGTGTTTCCGAGAGAGTCAGAAGAAAAAGAAATAATACAATGAATTAGAAAGAAGCCTCCTCAAGTCACAGAGGAGCCAAGTTTTCAACCGCTTGGTGCTTGAAGTCAGAGAGGGCAGAGGGGTTGTAGAGTACAGAGATGATAAAGGAAGGACAGGAGAGGAAAGCTGTAGCTGTACAACATACAGCAACAAACCTCTAACCTTTAAGCCATTACCAAGTTCCCTCCACAAAAGATTTATCCCCTTCTTTCAGTATTGTACTAACTCAAACTCAAACTCTCTCTCATACTTCTCACCATTATTGAAGTTGGAAGGCTGCTTGCCCATTTTGAAACAGACTCCCCCAATCTCAACCACTCCCTGTTAATAATCTATCACCCTGCTGTGGTCCCTATGAAGCCTCCATCTCCTGTCCAAATGAATGTTTCACCGCCTTCACAGTTCATGGAGACGAAACTGTTTTAGCAATAACAGTTTATCTGACAGGCCAGTATTTCACATGTGTTATTAGGAAAAGCAGTGCACCTTCAGATGAGCTTACAGATGCGTCATCGTGGCCTCAGTAGGTGTTGGCGCAGGCTGATAGCAAGAACCAGTTAAAATGGATTTATTGCTGCAGCAACTGGAAACTGAAAATCTGTCTGTTTCTTCTCTCCATCTTTCTGATCGTGTTTCTCTTGCTCCTCTTGGTCTTCAAGTAAGCTTTTATTCTTCTTAAGTACTCTGGATTGGGTAAAGACTTCAAATAAAACCATAAACTACTGTCAGACCAAGTAAAATTATGACAAATGGGAAAATGTAACATGTAAACTACAGGAATGTTGCAGTTAAAACATTTGAAATCTTTGAAAGCTGAAGTTGCAGTCAAAATATAAATATTATAAAAAGCTGAAACAGCACTTAAAGTGGCCTCCAATCTGCCCTGAAGAATTAGCACTAGTCAGAGGTCATACAGTATTATAACCTCTTGTCTTGTAAACTGAGCTCTTGTCAAGCAACAATCCCCACAATGAATAGATATGAATGGAAGTTGTATGAATTAGGGGACCTGAAGTTTGTGGTTGTTGAAACCTGAAAAGGGTTGAAGCGGCTGTCTATGTGAAAGTCAGTTGAGGACAGAGGTGAACGCCGTCAAAATGTCAGCTGACTTGTAGAGACTGAAACAGCTGAAATGTTATTTGAACAGTAAAAGATAGAGGAAGTTAATTACCAGTTCACATACGAGTCACAGTAGTTGTTGAAACCAAGTCAGTTGAGGTGGAAGTGTTGTAGAAGGTTGAAGTATGTGCAGTGAAAGGAGTTGAAGTTGTTTGAGTTAGATGAACTGAACAAGTTTTCTGTTGGTCAAAGATGAATGCCTGAGACACAATGAAGTGTTAGTCTAAGTATTGAAAGGACTTGAAAGGTCAGTTGAAGACAGAGGTGAATGCAGTCGTCAAAATGTCTGTTGACATGTAAGTGGTGAAAACAGTTAAAAGCAGTTAAACTTGACAGAACTTTAATTCAGGCAAGTTCGGTACACGGGTGATCAATTAGAACAGGCAGAGAAATCCAATGGGCTACGTCTAAACTCACACCCAGACTCACACAAAAACTAAACTGGCCAAAAACACACTAGGTTGAACACGGAGAGGATGCTGCAACGTTTGATACCAAAAATGAAGATGAACTTGCACAGGACACAGGGAGCACGCAGATTGAATACGCTGGGAGGGGAAGACAATGAGACACAGGTGCAACACATTAGGGGCGGGGTCGACAATCACAGGAGCGGGGAAACACATCATGGCAGGAAATGGAAATCTGGAACGAGGGGTTAATAGACACACCAAAATAAAAAACAGGAAGTGAAAACCAAAAATGACAAGAAACAGAAAACATAACCTAAATCAGGGCGGGACATGACAGAACTGTAGATTGAAAAGGAAGAGAAAGCAGTTGAAGTGTCAGTTGATTTTCAACCCAACACAGAAGCTGGGACAAAGTGGATTATAAGCTTCATCACATGTTTACAGGTGTGTAACATGAGTAAAACTTTAACTATTACACTGCCTGTATAGTCAGCTGGGTTGATTATAATAAGAGCATGTTCTGTCAGACACAGAGGACAACTGAAAGTCAGTGTAGACACATCGCCCCAAAACATATCTTTATGTGGAGAGCTGCTCCACATTAAGTGATTTGCTTGCAAAGTTCATGCTAGCGCTAGCTTGATTTACAGAACTTGCATATTGTAATAAAGATAAATTCAAGTGTCATCTGGCAGACAGGCTAATGGGTGACGGTAATTGAAAGTTTGAGAGATGAAAACTGTCTATTTAAAGTTTAAGTTGTTGAGAAAGTTGAATCTTCTGTGAAGCTGAAGAGCTAAATCCCACAGTGAATGTGACAATGTCATCCACTCCAGATTTGAACATTATGCACAACACACACTAATTTTAACGTCTTAGAAGCTCTGAAAAGAGCATAAAACCTAACCTGCAATTACAGAACAACTACAGGTATGAAAATATGTAAACTAATGTCCAAAGAGTGATGACTGGTTTCACTTTTCTGGGTCAAAGTATATAAGAGGTTTAAGATAAGTTGAAAAGTCCCAAAGATGGACAGAATGTTTAAACATTGAACATTATGTTCATTCATTACAATGGAAAAAAAGGTGAAAAAATGACACCAGTCCAAAGGCGGCTGAACACAAGAATATTGAGTGTGCATCGCTGATGGTGTAATGTGTAATGTTATTCCTTTGCAATTACACTCCAATTGCAGGTGTGTTCTGTCCTTATCCTTGAACCATCAGAGGCTGCTTTCATCCTAACCCAAATGCATATCTTTAACCTTTGCTTTGCCTCTACCACTGATGGATAAGCCAGGTAAATGTCGACAACAGGTTGTCTAACTCATCATTGCATCCTGCTTCTCATCCCGCTGATGTGCCTTTTAAACATCCACCAATCACCCGTTTGGCTCTGATTCTGGCAATTGCTCAGACAAAAGGATTTTTCCCATGCATACTAATGTGTTCCTCGAAAACTCTCTGCTTGTTGGTTCCAGGGACTGCTCTGGCCTGTTAGGTTCTGGCTGCATATATGAAGCTACTTAATAAAGAGCAGGAAGTGGTTTGAAACCCTCACGCTATGCAATGTTTAGCATGAAATGTGAGCCATTGAACTCCAGCCTGCCAAAGTGCATTTCAGTGGGGAAAGATGTTTTCTGTAGCCCAGTTTGCACTTGAACACAGATGTTTATCTAACAAATAAAACATGTTATAATCTTCTTGGTTTGTTAATTTGTTTGCTTCATAATCTGTTGATGGCTGGCCCAGACCTATATGCTGCAAAACTGCAGAATCTGCCCAGCATTTATGGCTTTGCATCCCCAAGTTCCACCTCGCTGTCTGTCTCTACTTCTTATTAACCCTCTGGTACTTTCTCCATCGTCATCTATACTTAATGTTAGAGCTGTATTGCAGGAAAATGTACGTCTTTCTCAGGGGCTTTCGAAGTGACACATTCTCCCTTCTTTCTGCTTCCAGCATTCCACTCTGCTCCCTATCTCTCCCTCTCATTGAGGTCAATGGTTTCATTGGCCAAAGTCAAACAAGAGGGTCCTCTGAAACCCTATCAGTTGTCTGTTCATTTGTGTAGACATGGATGGACGGGGCCAAAGTCAACCTTCACTTATTAGGATTCAGTTGTAGCCCTGACATGTTTTCTCTTCCCCCTCTCAGCTTTTAAATATGCAGGATGCGGGACTTTGCAATGGCACTGTTTAATTGAAAATGAAAACCTCAAATCAATATCAGACACGAGGAAGAGCTCGGACATCTCAGACAACACAGCGCAGACAATGGACAATGATACTGTTTTGGCCCGAGGCAAACATGGGTTGAGTTGTACCAAACAAAGAAGCTTCTGACAGGCAACATTTTGAACGGGCACTGCACTGGTAGTATTCAGTCGTCGCGGAATTGAACGCTGAATATCATGAATCAAGTGAATTGAAGTATGGATGCAGTGGCTCAAACGGCATCATCTGAATATTTACCTACGTTTCATAGCGGATTTGATTTGAAAGACTCACTCACCCACCGAGCAGCCCACAGCCACACAGGGCCCACAGGTAGGTTTCGCCTACCTGCAGCCTCAAGTCCTGTTTGGATGCACGGTTCAGCCTTTGCACGTCTAAAAAAAGTCATTGTAATTTAATTGAATGGAAAGCTGGAACATTGTTCAATTAAAAGCAAAAGACATTTTCCCCTTTCTTCATTTGCTCTCATGCTCACGTGTCAACTTAGTGCTGTCATACTATGTCAGTGTTGTTTTTAATTCCTGATCTCTGCTGCCCCCTGTACTCCAAACAGTGAATTCTGGCACTGAATGAGCACCACACTGTTGTTAGCCAAGTTTTTAAATAAATAAAACATATACAAGTCTGTTTGTATGTGTTCTTGTTTTATTACAAATACAAAGCACAACAAGAAAAACACAGTTCACTGCATAAATAGCTTGTTGTTGACGTTGATTTAAATACAGTCAGTGCGGAAAATGTTCATTTCCTGTTTTGTAATGCATTATATCCCACTAAAGTTTTTCTTTTTTTTTTAAATCAAAGTCAACATTTTCATGTCTTCTTGACTATGTTTTTATTACACTGGAGATATGTGCTTAAGTCCCTCTCAGTGTTGGATCGTACTGAGAAACTGTCCCCGATTTGGGGAATTCCGAGCCATTCGCCAAAGTTGAAGGGTTGAAGCGTTTACTTGCCAATATTGCGCTAGTGCTTAATTCGTATAAATCTACCACCTTGATTTACATTAGGGTAAATTTTCTTCACCATTATAAAAGTTGACATGCAAATGAACCATATTCAGTACCTTTAAATTGTATAGATATATGTACAATCCTTTTACAAAACAATAAAAAAAGTCGATAACAATTAAATATTTTCCCATATAAAAATGAATAACTTATAGAATACTTGAAGTTTAAGGATAGTCAAGGTGTAATGATTATCTACATGTACAAAAAATAATAATTTCCTGGTACTTTGGAAAATATACAAACAATTAAGGTGCACTTGAGTGCCTAACTCCAAAACCATAGCTACAACATCAGTGAAAAGATCATTACAACATACAAACACTGCATTTGTCCAATATTCCAAGACATTTATATACATTGGTATACAGTATACCAATATACTCTATACCAAATATGATTATAAAACAGATATGTGGGTCAGACTTATGGTATGTGAAATATAAATGAAACCTGTGAAATGCCCCAAAAGATGAAGATGATGCCTGTAATGAAACACAACCTAATCAGTGCAGATTAAAATGCACCGTGAAATTGAAGAAACAAACTTTTGACAACAGAGGGAGGTAAAAAAAAAAAAAGACATCCCTGTGTCATTGTTGTATATTCCTTTTGTATACAGCCGTGATATGCTTTTGGGTTACAGTAAGTGCACTTTTTTTCCAACAAACCTTTTGCCAATTTGTTGCAAGATAGAAATGGAAATCGCAAATAGACACGAGTGTGAAGTTTGTAACCTACTGCAGGGTCGACAGCGGCTACTGAGCTGACACCGCCAGCGTAGGTTTTCCCTCTCAGGTCAAAAGCTTTGATCTTTACATCGCAACATTCCTGTGAAGGCAGAGCACACAACATGAAGGTGTGATGCCCGTAGCACCAAAGTGAGCAGGTATGAGCAGCTATGATGGTGTTATGTCCTTAATTACCACATTGTCAATGGTAAACAAATATAGTAGAAACAAAACTGTATGCAGCACCACATAAGGTATATACTGTGTTTAAGGACCCATTTTCCATATAAATTATATTTCATCAATTAAAATAGTAACAAATTAATTTACAGTTTATTTACAAGTCATCAACACTAAATTGTCTGCTGCCTTCAAATGTATGTTTGTGTCTTTAAATAAGCCCATATATACAAAATAGTGTGGTCAACGACTGTTGTGCAAATCCTTACGGGATTAAAATAATGTCTCTGTGGTACTGTAGGTTGTCAGCTTATGTCAGGAGGAGACCTGTATTTATTTGAACCAGTGCAGGTAGTTTGTCTTGAGAGCAGGGAAGCACATGTTGTTGCTGCAGGAGCCCCCGTAGCTGGGGGGGCAGGCGGAGCAGGGCACGCCTACTTTGTAGGGAGCTTCTCCGATCCAGTTACCCCTGAAAGACAAGACACACGTAGAGTCAGTGAACCTGGCAGTAAGAATTGATTTGTCAAGAGTAAAACCTGCAGATGATGACAACGGTGACCTCTGCAGGTCAGAAAGTATTATTGTGCCCAAACCCACAACTGTGTTTCTCAAAGAAGGGAGGCCACATTTCCCATTAGCAAGCTAAAATAGGTCATCAGTGTCCTGAGCCTGCTACTCTTACATATGTCTTAAACCAGTGGGATTAAAGAGCCTAGGTCACAAGTCAGTCACAAGTACAAACGGGCTTTGATTCCTGGAATTTTTTTTTTTGAGAGAGAGAATTTGTCTTCTGCTTTGTGGGTCTCCAGAGCTTTGGTAATGCAGTACCGGCTCACAGGCTTGTATTGGGGGGTTATCTGAATCTCTCAGCAACATGGGTGGCATTTCACAACTCGGCACAGAACAGAGTGGACTGTGTTGGTATTAAGCTTGTCGTCGGCCTATCGTCATCAGGTGAACAGGTTCACCAGAATTAACAGGCCTCCTTACCGCATGTAACCAACATTATATCAGACTGACTGAAGTATACTTACTTAGGCGAATAGTTGCAAACTAAATATGTTGCCCGCTTCCACACTGAACCCCATACATTCATATTGTGGCACGTGTGAACCGCGCAGCCGACTTTATTGGACGTTGCCCACACCATCTGCAAAACACACATCAGCAGTCAGTCAACAGTATTAGCTAACAGCTAACAGTATCACATTTAATACTGAGTGCTGTCTGCGTACCTGTGTATAATGGGTACACATGGGCCCATAGCATCTGAGAGGGCATCGAGGGTTGCAGTCACGGGGATATGGAAAAGAATAGTCTTTGACCTCATCGTACCATGGCTTCACCAGCTGAAGAATTGATCGATAACTGTGAACAAAAGACAGACATAATCAATAACTGATGCTGTATATATATCACCGATAGTGAGCGACATAATTCTCACCAATTCAGACTGACCTTGTCACTAGACTCATGGTCAAAGTACTACTGTTCTGTGTACTGAGATGACAGTTTAAGGTTGTGTGCAGGTGTATTCAGGATTGATGGAACAAAACCTTGAAGACACTGACTGACATCAGCAATTTTGGCAACAGCAAAATGAAAACAGTGATTAAATAGAAACTCCTGAATTTGTATCTGGCCTCTGTTCCTCTGTTTTTTCCAATGGTCGTGAAGTTTTTTTTTTTTTTTTTTCCAGATGTGCGTGCATTCCCTCTAGGTACTTCAGTTTCCTTCCCATCATTTTTTTCATATTATTTATGGATCTCAATCGAATTATTGAAGTTTCCTTTCTTATTTCTTCGAGGTCGTTTGTTGGACGTGCAGCTCAGGTGAGGAGAGGATGCTAAAACTTTTCCAAAATCTTGTCACAGTGTAGACTGCGCTGGAATGGATGGGTTTCACCACAGTAACAAAAAACAGCCTGTAGTTCAGCATTAGAATGTAAACTGTGCGCAGCGTCACAAGCACATGAGACTGATAGAAACATGGCTGCATTTTCAAATGTCAACAGGGTAATTCTGAAGATGCTCCAGAGAGTCAGAGTTTGTTGCCAAACAGCAATTTTAACAGTTGAAAATTCTCCAGCACTATGTTTAGTTATTTTTTTGTAAGCTATCCCAGCATGCTCTGTACTGCAGAATGCTGACTTGCAGATTATTATCCATTTTCTTGTTGAGATTGACGTTTGTCTGACAGAGCTGGCTCCGGCCCCTCCTAGATTTAATAAAACCTTTTGGTTTCACTACGTAGGTCTAGTGGGGTTTTTTAAGGAAATCTCAGAGAGACACAACGACCAGTCAGAATAAGCTGTACTCCCTTGAGTCTCATGTTGTTCCTCAATAAAATCTAAAAGTGTAGGAACACATGAAGGTGCTCTGTGTTTCCAAATGGAAAGTCAAGACCTACTGAAGGGATGCGTCTTTGTCCTCATGGGTCATGGCTGAAAACACAGCTTTTGTTTATTTGAAGGGTCACAGGAGCATTCCTCAAGCAGTCACCGGGTCACAGTGCAAAAACTTTAAGGAGAAAGAAGAAGGGGGCTGCTAAGGCAGCGACCATGACTGCTGAGAGAGAGTCATCCCTGAGAGAAGCAGCAGATGTCGGGGAGGGGGAGGGGAGTCAAAGGTCACTCACCGTCCTGTCCTGACGGAGAGGTTTTGACCCAGGAACCTGAGGAGGTGAGGTGGCCCATGCTCCCACAGGCAGGCATGAGCCCAGTCCTCGGCTGTCTTAGCCAGAGTGTCATCCCACACCTAAACACACATAGAGAGACATGCTATGAACACGGACAGCCGTTACATAACCGACAGAAAAGATCAACGCTAGATCTTTTTCAGCAGCGAGATGCGAGATAAGAGTCAGCGCTTTATGAGTTCAGAGCACTGTTACAGGTGTTACCATGGCAACGTGCACAAGTCATCCATCAAATCGGTTATATAAGAGGAAGAAAGTTAGCTGCCTAGTGTCCCATGTACTGTAACTCTTTCTCCGAATATATCTTTTCTGTGATGAAAGCGGGTTGAATAGCTGCACAGACACATGGTTGTGCCTGGAGCCCGATGCAGTCCTCTGATGACTTCACTCTACAGATGTTTCATCAGGGGATGAGACTCCCCCTAATGTATTTTACTGTTAATACATCAACAGAGAGTGGAAATGATGCCAATTTTAAACATAAATGTTGTTATTATGTTGTCAGCTGAAATTGCTAAGTGCTTAAGAGAATTATACTGCTGCATATGTAAAATAATAATAAAATACATGTTGTATGTGAAATTAAAAGTCTGATTTAGCAGCTTTGGGACTTGCAACTCTATATAAAAATATTTCCCATTATGTCTACCGGGTCTTCAACTGATCATTACTGTTCTCTCCATACTACAATGCCAGCAGGCTACTAGTACCATACATGACCCCTCTGCCTCTGGAAGTGACCAGGCTACTTTGGTGGTCTACCACAGTGCAATCTACATAACAGCTGAAGGTGCCAAGTAACATTTAAAGAGATTTGTCACTTTAATTTCTTATAAAACTACAAATCAGATGAGTATTCTCTATCGGTTTCTATGAAAAATCATTGATCTATCTTTTACTTGATGGTGGTTATTCATGACAATGCAAACAGAGGACATACAATATATGGCTGCAGTAAAACCATGCATTGATTGGAAAAACATACTTCAATAAAAATGAATGAAAGCTTTCACTTACCATGTATTCCATATTGGATGCTGGGGGAAACACTTTCCCTCTCACTTTGTTATGGTAATCAAGAATGGCAAGCATGTCATTCTGACTAATGTAACGCTTCCTCCTGCTTTTAGAAATAGTCGTGGTGTCTGTTCCATAGCTGTGCGCTGCACCAAGACCGGTGAAATTGGCGGCTGGCAGGGACGTGGACACAGAAGGAATACTCGTTGCCAATGCACTTGCTCCGCAAGATATGCACAGAAATATTAGATCTATGACAAATAACTGAAGTTTCATTTTTTTTTTTTTTTTTTTTTTTTTTTTTTTTTGGCTTCAGGAGACTGCAGACAGAATTTCCCGCGTCCTGGATTACTCTGAAAAGAAACCAAGACGGACTTGAAGTAAGTTCAGACATAGTGAAACCAAGCTTCAAACATCTCGTGCTTTACAACACAGGAACAGAAATACCAGTGACATTCCCTCACACAATCTGCTCCTACCTTTTCTTGCGCAGCGGTACCTTGTGCCTGGGTTGGCCAAGGCTGTATCACCGCTAAAGCTTCGGTAGTGGACTGGAGGGAGAGGGAGGGCTGCCTGGCTGCGAGTGAGGAGTTTTTGCGCTTTGCGAACTTTGTGAGGGCTTCAGGAGAAGTCCGGTCTTTGCGGGTTTATATATTGCAGCGCGACGATGCAGGAAGTGCGCCTGCCTCGGAGGTAGACGCACAGCCCCTCCTTGCCACCTGAAACACAGCATCATTGGGAAACGTTGTGTTTGGTTTCTCTCTCACCAAGACATGTGCTTTTAGGTTTGTGCAGCTGCAGGACGTGAGAGGACAACATTTGATTAATAAGGAGGATGGAGCATATTAAATGACTATTATGGGATCTCAAAAGCAAAAGATGATAATGATACAGCTCTTTATCATGCAGGCTATTTTGTTGCTGTGATGTAGATTGATTCTAATATGGATGTGATTTATGATAATATTTGACATTTTCTCATTTGAAACTATCCTAAAATGATTTATTGAATTAAATTGATTGTTGAATGTTTAATAGAGCCAATCAATCTGTCTGATCAGCTGCATGTGCAGGTGATTAAATGTACACCTCCCACATACTCCTCTGGTCACTGGTCAGGACATCCACATGAAGCCAGCCAGCCTGTTATGAGTCACAATCAATGTGAGAGCTGGGTCCATGTGTCCTATCAGTCTTCTTTGTCGTATTCATTATACTGTAAATATTACACTTGTTCAGTGTGTGGCTCCAGCTGTGTGGTTTGCCGGGGCAGATGCAGAGCCAAAGAAGAGAGAGAGAGAAAAAAAAAACCTTCTACAGGTCATAATTTTCATTGGCAGCTGGTGAACAAATTAAAGCAACGTGACGCAGGAACAATTTTCCTCCCCCTTTTTCTTCTCTTTCGCTCTCTTTTCTCTCCTCCTCTCCTGTTGCCGACAACTGGTGCTTTCCCAAAAATCTTCTTGGAAGTGATGGACTTTTCAGGTGCTGGAATTGGTGGAAGGGATATATCACTCAAGAGTGGTGCACAGCAAAGATTTTCTCCTCCGGTTCACTCCGTCCATGCATTTTCAGCTCCTACACTCTCCGCTGCTGTCCTGCCTTAGTATACTGAAGGTTTTCACTGGGATGGAAAGTTGTCAGTTAGTGGATAAATCATGACAGATTAGTTGAATATTTCTACTTCCTAGACCTGATCCAATACTTTGCTAAGGCCAGGACTTTAAGCAGAAATGTCTTTTTCCTGTAGATTCTTGAATTTACCAGGAAAAACTTCCACAGGAGGTTGGACATGTGTTGGCTTTGCAGTATTTGATTTTTGCAGAAATAGCATACTAGGACAACATGTAAGCTCAAGTACAGTGAAAGAGTCAAACAGAGGGAGATTTGGACATGCATTTTACCAAAATTTGCCTTTTTATGCAAATATTTATAAGTCATATCCTCAGAATTATACCCACCAACTGAAATATTCATTTAACCCTTTCAATATATTTGAATGGGTTAAATAAATATAAATATATGATGTGATTTGTTTCCTTTTTTCCTGTTATGACTATACACCATCACATCTGCTCAATATTTTGACTCATCCTCTCATCTGGTATCAATAGTCAGGCCACTCTAAAGCCAGCTCAGCCCGCCAGCCAAAGATTCTGATCGACACGGTGCTGGGATCCTTTCCCCAGGTTTATACCCATATTATAATCCATATCATCGGATTATATTAACATACACCTGCTTCACAGCATTTCACACCGTCTTCGTGTTTATTTGACAGCAGGCTCCTGATCCAAAACCAAACAGAGTAATCAAAAGTTGAGTTTCATTGTGGAAAAGCTGGAATTGAATAGAATACTGTACTTCTACAGCATGTCTCTCTCCCCCTCCCCCTCTCTCTCCCACACACACAAACACACACACAGTTTCTTCACGTGCAGTCTCCTCAAGGCCCCAGATGATATTCCCTCAGTCTCAGAGTGCTGGTCCTTGTTTGCGCAGTGAACCCAGTGACTTCGAAAGAGGTCGAAGCATTATTATCATATTATCAGTGGAGTAATTAGGGCATTATTTGGGGCACATGCTGCTCTGAGGGGCCTTGGGTCTGTTTTGGAAAGGCATTCTTTTTCAGACAGAGCATTTATTTACCTACAATATATTGTTCCAAGTTTCCCCCATGCTTCCCCCCTCTCCGGAGGCCTCTCAAAGCCCAGTGTTGATGCCAGTGCAGCAGAGAGAATGAGGTGCAGTAGTGAGTAAAAGGGAAAGTAAGAAAGAGCAATAGCCTACAGACCATAGAAAGACTCAACAAGTGTTGCATTGGTTATGTTTCTAGATGCCAGACAAATTGAAAACTCAAAGCAGAAGGATTTTGAGTAAATACAATTTACATGGTTTTGACAGGTATGGAGTATCATGTACAGTTATGCAATAAATGTTCAAAACAACCACTTTTCTGTTTTTCATGCAAGTTTCAGCTAAAAAAAATATGTTATTGGACAGTTTTTGACCCAGGTCTGGAGCACTGACTTGGACAATTCAATAAGTAACAAAAGCTCCTAAGGATGGCTCCTCGCTCTGTCTGCTATTCCAGCAATCAAAGCACATGCTGTAGACTCCAACTCAGCTGTGCACTCCACCCAAGGCTATTGTTACTGCGCTGGCAGACTTCACTGTGCATGGGAAAGTCACTAAGAGATCGGCAGCATGTGAATGGATGGATGAAAAAGAAGTCTAATGTGACTACAAAAAGCATAACTTTTAGGAGCGGTATGAAAAATGAGATAGTAAGCTATGGATCAAGTTGCTCACAGAGCCTCTGTGATGAGTCGTATTTGGATAAGTGTTTATTTTGTAATTCTATAAATTTGATTTAAAGGAACAGCTCAAGATTTTGCGAAATATAGCCTACTACAACTTCAATTTCTTGCTAAGAGTTAGATGAGAAGATTGATGCCACTATCATGTCTGTATGATAAGAAGCTAGAGCTACTGTAGGAGACAGTTAGCTTAGCAGAGGAGGAAACAGCTAGCCAGAAAAGAATTAAATAAAAAAAATAAAAATAATAAAATAAAATCTGCCTACAAGCTTTTTGAGCAAAGCTTGCTGTTTCCTCCAGTCTCCCAGTCTTAATGATAAGCTAAGCTAAATAACTCCTGGCTGTAGCTTCATATTTTGTGTACAAATATGAGAGTTTGGTATAGTAAATATGAATCTAGACTGCCAGTAGCTGGTTAGCTTAGCTAAGCTTAGCTAAGCTTACCTTAGCTTACCATAAACATGGGGAAACTATGTAGCCAGATTTTCTGGTTTGGTTATGTGCCATACTATTTCTTGGCCAGGTACAGTCATTTCCTGGAGTCACAGTGACGATACAGCTCTGGGAAAAACTAACACTAACCCCCGGAAAACCACAAAATGTTCATTTTCACGCTTGAGTTTTTGTACAGAAAAAACAAATGACATATAAAATGTTGATTAGTGAACTGCTGGGCAGATTTTCATACATTTGGACAGTGTTTTGCTGGCTGTTTCGACATTTCCATTCATCATGCTAAACTAAACTGACCGACTGCTGGTGATAGTTTCATATTTACTGTACGGATCTGAGAATGATATCTACCTTCTAACTGTTGGCAAGAATGCAAATCTAATTTCACAAACTGTCAAACTATTCCTTAAATCTGCCATGGCAAGTGTAAATAATGTGCAAGTTAGGAGTTTGATAAAAGAGAGTACTTATTCCTACAAAAATATGTTTTATACTACAATATATATTGTTTTTTGTTTTTTTTCCTTAAAGGCAGTTTCATTGGGGCAGATTTGGGGCTGGGAAGTTGTGATGTCATGAGTTGGTTTATGTTGGCCAGGGGGCAAAAAGAAATAGTGACATTTCAAGAGTGGTTTACATTGGTAAGAAGCCCAGTCTCTAACTACAAGCTGTCCAAGCTGCTTTCTTCCGCACGCAGCAGCAACATTGTATCGGTGGAATATACAGTTACATAGCAAATACTGTATGTTTCACACACTCTGCTAGCTTACAACAGGGTGAAGACTTGTTGACACTGAAAAAACCTGTGGGTGAGAAAGCTTCAGCCCTGTGTCCCCGTCAGAAGTTCAGGAGTGGATTGAGACTCCTCCTTTCTGCAAAGAGTAACAAGCACAGTAATTAAGTCAATAAATATCAGTCTTCTGATCAAAGAGTGCTCTCGCTGAGCTTCAATTTAATTCAAAATTAAATTCCTGCTGTGTTTAGACTGTACATATACCAAGGTGCTAATATAACATCACTGATAAAGTTACCTTTTTTTCATAGGATCCAGCTGAGGCTGGCTACAATGCCAGCTGGTACTGTAACTACAGTACTTATTGCCGAAAGATCACCCAATATAACCCAAAGCCACATAGCCTTGTATTTACTGAATAGCGACCTCTACAAACATGACTGTAGAGAATCTACTCCAGACTGGATGTTTTCCGCTGTTGTTGTCTAGATACAAGTCTGGCTGTTGTTTGGCAGCTCAGAGGAGTCTAAGGTGACTTTGTCCTCAACCTCGGTCACAGGAAGTAAAAAGACCATAAAAATCATTAAGGCAATATAAAGAGTAAACACTAAATGACAGTGAGAGCCATTGAGGTTCAGATGCAGCAGAATTCGAAGAACAATTTTGTTGCAGATGTTGTGGATAATTCCTAGAAGTAGATGACAAAAGGTTAGCGATATTGACAATAGAAAAACTAGCCAGTTGCTGCACCATTAGCTTTATGCAAGGGCCTGTAAAGTGCTTCAAACAATCTTAACAAACATTATGTCGGTAGAACATACACAATTAAACCCCCCTTTTCCCGTAACACTGTTTAGAGTGTGGGAAAAACCTGAGAGATTACTAGAGGGGGATTTTTTCTTCAGGAATAAGTCACTCAGCTTGTGTATCTATTTTTGACATGTTACATTCCTTTGCCCCCAGATATTCTCACCCATCTATAAGACATTTACAACCATCTTTGATGCTCAGGCCTTGTAAGACTGGACAGAGACGGGCTGTGGTCACACACAGACATTTCTCAAGAGGTTCAGATGTCAGCTGAGAGAGACATGCAAACAT